TTCTCAGACGGATACAACTATAACGGATGATACAATAGCAAATACACATTGTACGATAAAGCATATGGCGAAACAATTAAAACATTAGGTTAGCTATTGGAGCATTAATGGTGCGGCAGTAGAAAAAAAGTTGAGTTAATCAGATGCATCTTCTTCCGATTATATTCATTTTGTTGCTGATTTGTTTTGCTATTACGGCTTTCCAAATCTTCCCTTTCCACAAATCCATCTCTTCGAATTACCTTGCTGCATTGCCACCGGATGATATGCTTCGCTACTGTGCAATTCTCTGCGACTGCCACTGCTTAATTTATCATTTGCTCAGCTTATGCAAGCCATATGTTCCCCTATCCTTTTTCAGGAAGCTTCACTGGTAAAGGCGTCGTTACAAGTGCGACTGACTTGAGGCACTATCGTTTCGCTTGAAATTTCTTCGGAAGGCATTCCATACACTTTAATAAGTGGTGATGAACGAATTTTTAATGGGTTTAGCTTAGGAGTTTAGAGAACAGGTGCTAATCACTTGAGAACGGTTCATACTTCATCAGAACTGATTGGAACGGAAGGATGCAGCAGATTTCCGATCTCTCGTAGAGCACTGTTGCGCTCAGACTCCAATTTTTTTGTAAGTTCTTCATCTCTGACCATCTGTTCATCGATAACCGATCGAAGCCGCTTGATCTGCTGAATGCTGAGTGCCTTAAAAACATAAATCACTAATGAAAGAAATAACAATCACTAAAGCCACTTACACTAATATCTTGGGATTTCAACTCCCCCAAGTTTTGCAAAACAGATTTTGGCAAGTCATCCGTCTGTCCTGGTGTTTCCTTATTCTGAAAAATTAGGAAACTTAATGCACACAGATCAAACAGTGTCGCTTAAAAATGTCAGTTGGCTTCAAAGAACAGAAAAATAGTCATTTCCGTACATTTAACGCATAATCTTCCTATTAAAATATATTAAGAATCAAAGTCAATTATAGGAGAAAATATATAATGATGCTAGAGGGAGTAGCGAAAAAGACCAACTCTGATTCGGTTACAGGTGACCCGAAGAGGGAAAAGTGCCTTTCAGAACCTTTGCAGTATTCAGGCATGCATAAGGAGATCCAGTGGATTCGTCATAAGCGAAGAGATGAACCTGTTAATGTATGTACATGGCCAGACGTGAGTAAGCGAGTAAAGGACCGTAAAAGAATTCTGTAGCAATATGCCTCGTTCTGAGATCTAAAATTCGACTCTGGCATCTCCGTTGCGGAGACCGGATAACGAACGTCCATCAACCAAAGAAAAATTTATAGGTGGGTCAATGTGTCTCGTGTCTTCTGAAACAGTTTCGTTTCCGATAAGAAAAGCTCTCTTGAAAATTCGGATTGAAGGACTGGAGACACTGCCTGCATGTAGATTGTTACATGAAAATTGGCTTTTAC